ATTTATTTATTTATTATAGAATGTAATCATATCAAGTGGCGCAGACAATCCGAATTTAATCAGGAACCCTTATGATATCATAAATCTGTATCCTTCAAATTAATGTGATAATAATGAATAGTATAACAATAAAATCACACTTAGTTCTTTGCCAATTATTTTATCTAGCATTTCTTAAATAATCTATATTATCCATAATTACTCCAGTTAATATTATGATGCATAGTGGATCTATGTTGGGTTTAAGCGAAGTTAAATCAAAAGCAGCTTTATTAAATCAATGTCAATTGCTTCTTTTGAGAGCAGGTTAGTCGTTATAATTAAGCCTATATATTTTACACAATAGAGATTGTATAATTTTATTTTAATCATTCCAGAAAGACGAGTATCCGGCAAAGCAGTATTTACAGTGGAGTTTACAGAAGAGCCAATAGAAGAAGATAATGAGGAAGAATATTGATAATAAAAAAGAATGAAAAAAAAGTAAATGTATAAAGACTAATACTATAAAATTTAATTTTACAACTTTATAAAAAATTTTTATAAAAAAAAATCTTTTTTATATTTGATTATGTATGTTTCACAGTATATTGTTCTCTTTTCTAAAGCTAAGCTTTTTTAAGCTATTATTTATGATTCTTATGCAATATTTAATATTTATCCCAGTTTTTACAAACTCATTTTTATACTCTTTTTTTCTGCTGTAATTCTAATTGTGCAAAAATCCAAAAATATTAATTAATTCAAAAAATCTCTGTTTGTCTTATTCCATATGTTTCTTGTAATAGATTATATATACATATTTTCACTGTATTCATAGCAACATTAATATTACAATATGAATGATATATTAACTAACTAATTATTAATTAACATTTATTGAATCACCATATAATAATTTCTCTTTTTTTAAATAAAAATTGTTTTGATTTGCAGTATTTATTTAATACATATATGTCTCTATATAGTATTGTTATTGACATTACCATAAGATAATATAAATAACATTACCATAGTTAGACATTAATTATTCTACAATATGTTGTGAAACGAAAATAATGATTTTTTTAGGAATGCACATAATTCTTAACAAGAAGTTAGATGAGTTTGAATCAACAGCTGATACAATGGCTATATTCATCTCACTTAGATAAACGACTATCACTATAAGTTCAAATAAGGATTCTTTTAAATAACATTACTTTAACTTTATTACATTTAATGTGGGATGCATTTTGCTTGCAATATATATTATTAGAGCGGCGTTATGGTCCTAATCAAGTAAATAATTATTTTCTAATGAAATTAAATATACGATGAAATATCGCGCAATTAATATTGAAAAAATGTAATTTGACATGCGAAAGACGTAACCAATTGCATTCCTGAAATAATTTGCAACGATATTAAGAACTTCGGACAATAACGATATCGATAACACGACATTGACAGATTTTGTCGTCTAATAGAAGCTGCTAACATCGACTCGGAGACGGTGGTGGATTCAGTTCTGGTTTAAAGATCAAGCGGATCATGCGCCCAACAGCTGCACGATCAAATCGATCATCTGTACATCATCCACGATCATCCCCGATCCCAAGCCCATCGACAACGTCCGTTTATCATCAACCACAACAACAACAACAAATTCTATATGCTCCCATCAGTAATCCAATGGTGACTCTTCAACCATGTGGGACAGTGCTTCATCCTTCGTGCGTTTATCCGAATGTTCAATCTCATGTTGGTTCATCGAATTCCGCTGCTTTACATCTTCAAGGTCTGAAAAAGAAATTAATTTCGATTAATATTATAAGATCAATTTCTTTTTTTCTATCCTCAATTCTTTTTCGAATCTGTTTCGTAAAACAATGTTCCACGCGAAAAAATGATATTAAATAAATTGTAAATAATATATTAATCATAATTGCAATTTTATAAGATTATATAAATTTTTTGTTCTATCTTTGTTTTACAATTGCAAAAATGACAGTTATTCTTTCGGATGTAGGAAAGAATAATCGATGGCACTCCAAGAACAAACCATCCCGCGGTCAACTATGCTACCAACAGCAACAGCCGCTTTCTTGCAACCCGAAACCTGTGGTGCTCCTTGACCAACCGTCTTCTAGCATCGCCCCGATCCCGTCGTCGACCACGTCCTTCTTAGTAGCTTCATCCACATTTGCTCATGCTGGACCATTGTCCAGCGAACATTACAACAACAATTCCAGAGTGACGCATCTGTTACCGCAATCCTTCAACTTTAAGCCGTCAAACGTACAGACCTTCTGCCTTATCCAGGACCGACAAAACGCCCAGCAGCAGCATCCTATGCAGGCTTCTTACTACAATATCTCGGCCACAAATACTTGCAGTTTGCAAACCGTCAACCCCAATTCATCCTTCCCGCTTCCCAGCCTCAATCCTTACACCAATCTAACTACTTTCAATAGCAATCAATTCCCAGCGACGGTGCAATCCTCCCCGCTCTTCACGAATCCGCCTGTTGGTTTAGTCCTCGCTTCAACGCAGAAAGACAAGCTTTTACCCACATCTGATTTCTCGTCGTTCAAGAATAACGCGAGCAAGACACCACCAAGCATCTGTGAATCTCGAATCGTTCCTGTCAGTCATAGCGACAATTTCAACGGCTGGCCACTTCAGATCGAAACATCTGCCAAGAATTCATGCGACGCGCATATCGCGGGCAACAACAAGAGTCTCGAATCTATTGATCGTGCTTCACAGAAACCCATTTCCGCGAAGACCGACGAGGAGCATTACTCGGATGAATCTTCGAACAGCTTCGATTTTACTATTGAGGCCGAGAAGATGGTCTCGGCTCTATGCAATACCACATCCTCGAACGATTTGGGTAAGGAGGAATCGAAACCCGATAACAAAACTGATTCCGCGCCGTTGTTTAGCGGCGCCGGCGACAACGTGTCTAATAAGGCGAATTGGTTCACCGATTTTTGCTCCGAGTACGAAAATGGAACGTCGATAGGCGTTCAAACAGATGCCTATCCGTGTACTGATAGATCACAGTATCCAGAGTTGATCCGGAAAACAGCTTACTGGGGATGCACGGAAGCCGAGATTGTGCTTGGCTCCAACGATTCGCATACGGACTCTAAACAAAGCTGGTTAACGTGTTTGTCATCCGCTACTAGGACGGCGATTACCAAGTCTTCGACTTGTATCCCGGTCTTCGCGGGAGATCGAGTTCTCGCTAATGATCTTATAAATGCTCTTCTGCGTATCAGCAACGGATGGTTGAGTCTCGACAATTATTTGAACAAACAACATTTTCCCAATTTGTTTGACAGATTGGAGCCCGAGTTAATCACATGTTTTCATGCGTGGGAAGAGAACACATGCGAACTACTAAAGCAAATAGTGCGGACCTTCCAGAAATTCGGAGAGAATAACGAAATGACAGATCGAAAATGCAATGCGATTTGCGGATCATCCTCATTTCCAGGCGATGTGTCGCTTTATACGAATTATAATCTCTTTGCTCAACCGTCTTCAAGCTCCTTTGCTCAACAGAACACAATTAGAAAAGCCCCTTCTCGAGAAAATCCATCCAATGCGACATCGGCACCATTATCAACGAGCAGCCTACATAATTTTCAATACAATTCCGGTCGACAAGAACAGCAATCAGCTGCTCAGAAAGAAAGTAAATTACGGAGCAAGTGGACGATTACAGAGAATTTATCGTCCGTGATTAATACCACCAAGTCCGTACCTAATGTCTCCGTGTATCACATGAATGATGTTAATAGTCTGGCGAGTACAAAACTCCGTACGAAGAATGCATCCTCCGCGTCGCGGAAATCCGATTCCACTCAAAAATCGCTGAACGTCGAGTTCTATCAGCTGAGGAATAAAGTGATGGAGAGCAGCACGGATGCGACAAAGGACAAAAGACACGACTTTAAATCGGAAAATAAACTTTTAGCATCACATAGTAATACCGATCAATCCATCCGACTGCAACATCCAGCGACGAACACTCCTGTAACTTACAGTGGACTGTACGCGCAGAATTGTTTATCCTTCACATTTCCTTTGTCCAGTAACTCGGGCTCTTCGTATCCTGTGCCCAATCCGGGGATTTTAACTTACGGTGGTTATCTCTCTTCGAGATATTCTTATCCGATTACCGATATTAATTCAAGAAGTAGTAGAAATTCCGAACAAAATTACGGAACTAAAAGCGCGAAGGTCCATCCGACTTATGTCGGCAGATCGCAAACCGATCAAATAGAATTTCCGGCTGTGCCTAGGAATAAAATGACTCTGCTCAGCCAAATCGAGCCGAGAACGTTCGACAAGGAGTCCAAGGAAATGGCTGCCAATCTGTCGGCCTGGTTTGCCAGCATGCGAAACACGCAGCCTCCGGCTGCATCCACTTTTGAGGAGTCGAAGATGAATGAGAATTCAGGGTCGCGATTATTTACTCAGCAAGAGATGCCGAAATACTCGATGAGCGTTCCCAAGCAGCTTGACGCGAATCGACAGTTTCAAGCTTTGCAAAATCTGCCGAATATTCAGAGTACACCATGGGCTGCCAGTAACTTCATCAATCGCTATCAGGCGCATCATGCGCCGGAGGAGTACGATAGCTCCGAGGACGTGCGAGTGTATATGAAACCAGGAAGCTACAACGTCCCGAGAAAGAGGCACCAGAGAAGATTCAATCGTCGATCGGACAACAACAACGCGACGTCTCGCAACGCGCACGCAACGAACAGTCATCACAACGTATGTGGCAATAAAGGGAAGGGTATATCGATACTTGCGTCTTCGACACCTCTATCGCATATAAATGCGTCGACCACCAACATCAGTAACGCTACGTTAATAAAGACGTCGTTCCCGCCCGCTTCGCAGCTACCTGCTCCTCTGTTTAATCTCGAGAACTCACCTAGGATTTTAAAGCGTATGGAATCTTCATCGCAGGATGCTTATCAGGATGTTACGTGGAAAGCCGCGTGCGCTTCGGCCGAGATACTTCTCGAGGCTCTTAACATAAAGGATTGTGGCAATATGTGCAGAAAGACCGAGACGTCGCCGCAGAGCGATCTGAAATTACTAAAGCGCAATAACGTCGATTATGCCTCGTCCTACGAAGCCTCGGAAGATGATTCGGGATCTACATGCAGACTGTCGCCCAGTACGAGCGTCCTATCAGCATCGCAGTTGCGCGAGGAAGAAAATGGTAAAGATATATTGCGATTTATCACGATTAATTCTCGAGTTCATTAAAAAATATATGTAGTAAATGTAATATCGTGAAGTATTTTATAATATATTTTTTCTATATATTTAATAATATCATCACAAAACGTATTATGTGAATTTGTGGTTTTATTATCGCGCTGATTAAAATAAATAGCTTTTATCGTGTTATATATTTTTTATAAGAACTGATTAAATCAATAACAAGCCAAGAATTCAAAGTTTTATCGAAACAATAAATCTTCTCGTGAGGAAACTTAGCGCATTTCATTACTCAGATTATTAAAACTACTAAAAAATATCTCGCGATCTTTTTGCAGGTGGTACCTAGTAATAAGCAAAACAAACCTTTTCTAAAAAGCATATTCAACAGCTTTCGGTATCAGAACCAACGTGAAAACGGATTCCTGGCTGATCAGGACTCTCAATAACGCGAGTATCGTCGGCAAACAGAAGCGACACAAGGACGACGTAGATCCACGAAGTTTAGAATCTTCGAATAGCTCGGAAATTGCCGACGTGAAACTAGATCAGTTCGCAACGTCGTCAACTGCGGATGCAGATACGAAAACACCTGCGATAATCGTCGACAGCGAATATCCAGCGATCTTCTCCCGCGAGCATATCTCTGGTTTTTTCTCGAGAAATGATGAAACGTCGACGAAAGAATCGGAAAGTTATGTTGGACGAGCTACGTATTCCGAGACAGTGCGAAGATCCATAAAACCGAACAACGTGCCTTTGGAGAGAAAAGAGACGTGTAAGCCGTGCACAATCAACTCATCGATGGCTACCGTAATACCGATTCCTGGCCGCAAGTGTCAGAGAAAAGATCCGGAACAATCTTATCAGCTTCTACATAAATCGCGAAGATCAGCTGATAAGAAGACAGTGAGAAGTGCAGGCGGCAACGATCTCCAATTGGAGGAAGGATCGTGCACAAAAGTCAGCGGTGCCAAATCGAACAACGTAATGCCAAAATTGTCAATCACTGCGAAAACGCATGGAAAGAAAGATCTGGAACACTCGAAAGATAAGTGTGCCATTAAATCGAGCGATCGCGGCTGGTCGGTGTGGTACAGTTCCAGGAAAAAGCAGAGCCTCAGTCCTCTTGCGCTGAGTAAATTGGAAACGATTCATCAAACTGTCTGGCAAATGGACGAAGCGAAGATCTTTAAGTATCCACTCTCGTGCAATAATAAGGATGGCCAGTCTCTGTCCGCAGAAATAGTTAGTTTCCGATTTTAAAAAAAATTACATTTTTTTTTTTTTTTTCAGATAATATTTGATGAAAATATTCTTTCTCGATTCGCAGATGGAGGATTACTGCAAGGTTGTTAAGAGTCCGATGTTTCTCGAGATCGTCGAGTACAAGCTGAAGAATCGGATTTATCACAAAGTTGAGCACGCCGTAAAAGATTTCCGTCGCATTATTCATAATGCAAGATTATATCATCAGGTTTGTAATCAAGTTGTATAAAATGCATTTAGCTCTTTTAACTGATATGTGACATTCATTCGATAAAAAGAGATTATATATAAGAATTATTATATATAAAATTTTAGATTATTTAATCTTCACACACACACATAAATCAAAGATTATAAATATAATATTTCAACATATAATTTAAAAAAAATAAGAATTTAATTTCGCAAGGTTCACAAATTTCTTTCGATTTTTTTAAATTCGTATCGTGTTAGATTCAAGTTCCATTCTCAGGAAGTTGTTTTATTACAGCATGATGATGAGCGAACAAGAAAGATTGAGGTGCTTTCGAAGAAATTGGAAGATCTACTCGAGGAACATTTCGACAATTGGGACTTTGAAAATATTACCGAAAGTCCGAAAGAAGATTCATCGGTGCAGCTGCGATTGAAAACGACCGGACAGAAATCGAACGCAGGACGCTGCGATAGCGGAAAGAAGGGCACTTCTTCGTTGGCCAACGTGGAGAATTCTTCATTTCACTGACTGTTGCTTTCATCTAAACATACAAACTCCAAATCGACCGATTTAAAAACACTATTGCATCCTGCTAATGAAACTAGCATTATCATTATATTGATCGGGGAAGTATTGTATTGTAATAATTTTTTCTAGTCACGAGTCACATTTTGTACGATTAATTAATAATATCTCGTTTGTTTCCATTATCGAAAAGCGATATCAATATTCGATGACTTGTAAACGCTTCGTTGAACATTTCTGTCTCGACTTTCGAAGAGACGGGATTCTGGACGATTTCATTGACTTTGAAATGTGCGCGTGTGTATTCTGCCCATTCATAACTCTATCCCAATCTTACATAGCGATATCTTTATGAAAAAAACCTGTATTAAATAATATAAAACGTGTGAATGTGTATCGACAGATATTGAATTTATTCTTGTAAAAGAGAGAGAACGTACCAACAATAATGTAATTTCCACGTTTATTGTTACGGCTCTATTACTAATGAATGATTTCGATCTTTTTAACTTCGATACTTGTTGAGGTGTCGTTAGATCAGAATAATATGAATCATGAAATATATTATATTGACCAATCTATATATATTATCGTTATTTCTTTGAATTATATTTTTTTCAGCACGTTTTGTATGTCTGTATGCACAGATATACACAATATGCGGAAATTACATGTAGAAATAGTTATTCATCCAGTCAAATCGCTATAATTAATATTGCTTGACTGCATCCCAAGACAAGAGGAGAGAGAGAATAATATTCAGACATTAGAGGAATTAATCTATTGTTTCATCGGATTTATATAATCACGATGTTATCAATTTATCTCGAGTTTCCCGCCAGTCGACGGAGTCGACCGATGCGAGCAACTAGAGTTATCGCGCGCAGACCGCCCGGAAGATGCACGGCGAGGGAGAGAGTTAGTCTACACGGATTATGGTAATGTCAAACATGCCAGCCAGCCGGAGGCCGGAGATAGCGATCATCCGATAATCGCGCACGGGGGTGTAGCTTGTAAATGAATGTTTCTCGCGTTCCCGCGGGACTCGCCGAGATTCGCGCGACGAGGACGAGATGTGACCGCACAGATCGCGGCCGTAACGTGAAGAAGTAGACCGTGTCGCGATCGACGAAAAGTAGCGGGACGAGAAGAACGGGACGTTAGAATAAAAACGTGTTAAGAGAAACGCGAGAGCCGGGACGGCACGCATTCTCGGAGGTCTCGGCCCGGACGCCCTCGACCGTTCAAGATGGATTGGGACATGATGACGATGGCGAGTCTGCATCTGACATCGACCGAGCATCGCTACTACGGTGACATATTTATATACTGCTGCGAGAACACGGACAGCGACAGCGTGCCCGTTATCAAAGTCGCCGAGTTGTTGCGCTCGGCTAGCTTACCCAGGGATATCACGATGAAGGTGAGTTTGATGGCTGGTTCGAGTTTGATTGAATCGGTATTTTTTCTTCCATCATTGATAGCGGATAGCGCGAATAGAATTCATCTAGTTTTCGAGAGATTCGTTGCTCCTGATGCCGAGATCAAATAGATATAATATAGATTTTATGATTGAAATGTGTCAGGTTTACTCGTGGAGGTTATGTCGTATCAGCTGAATCAATTAATCTGCTAGTAGGAGTATATTGAGTCATTTCCGTAGCTTTTAACGTAATCTAGGGCATCACGAGATTAAATGTTTACGTTCTGTAAAGTGTACATTATTTTTAGTGCAAAGCGGATTACTATCATTAGAATGATGATTATAAAATCATTGACATTTTAAAGAAAAGAAAATAAAAATTGATTGATTTATTAAAACATCTGATAAATTAATCTACAATATACAGGTATTGGAATATTATAGAAATATAACTATATATTGTTACATAGATATATATTTTTTTAATAACAAATGTTTCTTTTAATTTGTAGATATTGGATATTTGTATGGGAACTAAAAACAACACACATCTGGGCAAGAAACAATTTTATGCGGTATTGAAACTCGTAGCTGTCCATCAGGCTGGTTTGGAAATCTCCAGAGATATGATAACTGGATCTTCGGATATTATTACTTTACCAAGATTTACATGGCCAACTGGTGATGAGGATGGCAGAAGGAGTTCAGATTCAATTAGAGGAATAAAAGGTAGACATCATCCTCCAGAAAGTACTACTGAAAGCGAAAGTGAAGCAGAATCTCCGCGTGAAACTGGTGGCAGCACAGATTCCCCTACACCAACAAACAGTGTGACTCAAGAGAGGAATGATGGTATGTTGGGTAGTGAAACAATCCTGGATTCTGTTTCTGGAGGTTGGCAAGGTTTATTAGTTTCTGAAGAGCAAAGACAGCTATTGGGTACAGAGGAGGAGAGTTCAGAACGTCATAGCAGTGATGAAGGTGAAGGAGAAGGCGACGGTTCGGGTTTTCCACCGGAAGAAGTATGGATTATTAGTGATGAGCAACGTGATTACTACACTGCGCAATTTGCGCAATTGCAACCTGATCCAGAAGGTCTTCTGGCAGGACCTGTGGCCAGAACATTTTTCGAGAAATCGCGACTTCCCGTTTCCGAGTTAAGACGTATTTGGCAGCTTGCAGATGTTACTAGAGACGGAGCGCTCAGTTTACAAGAATTTTATGTAGCTATGCATCTTGTTGTGCTGAGGAGAAATCATGTGCCTCTACCGGACGTTTTACCTCCGTCCTTGTCAATTCCATTAGTCATGCAAACAACTGCCGCATCGCAAATCCCACCGGCAACAACTGTTCAAAAATCGCCGCCGAATTCCGCGAATGCTCGTGAGAAGAATAGGGAATGGACGAAGTTTGTAGATTCGCCGACTGGAGCAAGTAGTTCAGTTACCAGCCCAGGATTGCAGCTAGTGAACTTCGATTTCCAAAAATCAGCCGTCGAACGAGACCCGAAGATTTTGCATCCAGTGCCGTTGCGTTTAACGCCGGAAGCGGCAATTCTCGCTTCTGGCGCTAATGGCAGCAGTAGCAGTTGTACTACTTTGGTGGATGATGATCTGCAACATTCTGCGGCGTCATTAGTGCAACGACCTCTTACAAAGAAATCCTCCGCAGCTCCTGAAGACGCCGTAATCGTGACTCCCAAGAAGGAACCACCGCCTCCACCGCCACCCAGACCATATAGAACACATGCACGCAGTTCTAGTCTCGATCTTAATAAATTAGGTATGTGTTGTTGATAATCTGACATATTTTTGTGATTATAAAACTAAAGTTACATGTTTTGACTTATATGCATATATTTTTTTGTAGGAAAGAATGGTCAAAGTTTTCTTGGGGCACCACCACTAGTACCACCTAGAATGTCACCAGGAATCGTAAGTTCTTTATATATAATAAAAAACTTCTTTTTATTTTTAGAGAAAAACGCTTTATATAATCTTATAAGAGAGAAATAATATTATTTTTAAAACATACATCTCTAAAACAGAGATTATATAATATTCTATGAAAGATGTAATGATGCATTTTTATTGCAGACTTCGCCTCGTAAATTGGTCGGACAAAGAAGCGAGGGCGAAGGACAAAGAACCTTAAGTGAAAGTCAAGCTTTTGTTGCTGACTTCTCTCATTTTTCGCCCAAGAGTGAAGTACCTGAGACTACAATATCATCTATAGAAAATACAGTGCCACAATCTCAACAATTCACCGGAGTGTGCGGAGCATTTCATATTTATAGAAAACCCAGTCCAAGTAAAAAATTTTCTCATTATTTTCTTAACAACATTTAGCATTTTCTGTTTATTTATATTTATTATATACAGTTTATTTTTTTTATAATACGTAAACTTTATGTAATTAATATTATTATATTTAAGCTGAAATATTTGATTTTTTTTTAAAGAAAATGAATTCGTGAAAGTACTTAAAAGTATTTTTTTGTTTTTATAAAACGATGTATTTTAATATCATATTTTTGTTTTTACTAATTATATCTGATAGTTAAAATATAATCTCTTGTTACAGAACGAGATTGCGGTGAAGAAGATAATAAAGACGAATCGGAGGATGGGAAAAAACTAACCTTGCAAGAATTAAGGGATAAGAATGCGGAATTACGCTTAGTCTGCGAAGAATTGACAAGAGAACTAGCTAGCGCGCTTCAAGAACGTATAAATCTACGTGCTAAACTCTTGCTCTTGACTTGATGTGATTATTATTCGCTATCATCCATTCGATCAAAGCTGCATGAGGTATTATGTATCCTCAATTCATTGTAAACATATGTATTTAATATGTTATGCTAGTCTAAAATTCTTCTTTTCCCAACGATGTATTCATTCATATTCATAATAATCAATGTAGGCGGACAAATACGTCAAGGGAATTTACAAAAAAGATTATTTCTAAGTATTTTACTTGAGAATGAGAGAAGAGTATGAGATATATAAATTATAAATTATGTATATACAAAATTGATTTTACATAAATGATTCCTATATATTCAGATTTATAAATGTTTATGAATTTACTTTTGTCAAATTGATGAGCTATTGTTCATATTTATATGAAAAAGTGTTAAGAAATTCGCTAAAGTTTAAAGCTTATATTATCAAATTTGTGATTTATTAACTTGCGTGTTACATTTCGCATAATAGCTTCCTTTTTCGTCTCTCGCCATAGATTTATATATATTTCCAAGATTGACGAGAATCGAATACAATGAAGACACGGTACATGTTACCGAACCTGACAATCCGAAAGGGATTCGTAAGCTAACTTTTGTAACACATTTTTTTTATAGTACCAGTATTAATTGGTTTTGATATTCTTGCAGTCTTTTTTATAAGATGAGAGGATTAATGTATCGTGTATTATTGTCGTCGATGCTATTTTAGTATCTGCTTTTTACTTGACAATTATCGTGAAACATGTTAAAGCCACATTGATTATTTGCTTTTATCAAAATCCTATTAATAACGACCTGAAACAACTTGACAATCTGATAAATGACATTCGACGAGTAATCATATTGTATATTGTATACCTAAATGCATTATATATTCTACGATAATTTGTTTTACTATGTTACATTTTTATGCAGAAAATGAAAAGAAAAGGTGTGAGATAACTAATTGAGAGCCAGGCGCAGTAATCGAAGCGCAAGTTTTTCTTCAAATGTGATTTATTAATTGTTCAAAATCATATGTGTCGGTCTCTTATTTGGATCATCAGGACCAGCTGTCAAACAATATATAAAATAGTAAAGCATGGAAAGATGTAAAAGTTCATCTAAATAATCAAATTCATATAGTAATGTCTAGGAAATATCGTTAAAATACTCGTCACACATATTGGAAGTTTTTTTCTAAACGATGCTTTACTCATCATGTCGCGCTCCCGGTAACGCATACTTACTATAATTATAAGATAAGAGATTGAAATGCTGTGTGTGTGGGTAGCTCGGTATTAGAATATTTGTCATTCAGGAAATCCGGATTCGGTTGCTTCCTGACCCTGTACATGAATTAAGGGATTTTAAGTGAAAATTACTACATTATGATAACAAGTAACCAAGAGATAAAGAATTCATTTCATTGTTATAAGTAAAAAATATTGTATCCCAATTAAGGGACGGAGATTTATAAAAAGAATATCCGTTCCTTACACAGTAAAATTAATTCCTTACTTCTTGACAAGTTGCTTTAATCATATAGCGGCTAATTCTTCCACTTAAAATGTCTGTCATATGTAAAATGGTAGAAAATTTCTGATGTAATGTTCTAATACGAAAGTACTTTTTCATAATTTATTTTTAATATCTGCGATCGCGGGATGTATATGCGCGCAAAAAATTCGTGATGTGCATATTATGACAACACTACTGCTTTCCTTGCAGAACAAAATTTGCCATACTTGTCGCGTTACTGTTTTCCAAGGATTGTTTTTTGTTACGATGATATTGTTCGTAGAACAGTATTGTCTAATAGTAACGATGCGTGAAGTTTTATCTATCGTTTTTTACCATCTTACCTTGTTCTAAATATCTTGCATGGTTTTTTTTGCATACATAAGTGTAATTTCTCGTAACCTTGATGACTAGGTATCGTCCCAGTAAAGTCAAAATTTACCAAACTTGCTACAGAGATTTTCCAAGAAAAGAACTTTGCGCACTGATGCCTTACAAGTCGCACGATTTTGCATATCTAATTCCTTGTTCTTTCTATCATCATTTATCTCTTCGGAAAGTTTGCCGCTTTGCATGCCCGAATACGCATTTTTGATTGTATTTATTATATAATTATATAAAATTTTCACATAAAAAAAGATAACATCAACTGAGAAACGAGATAATCAGGACTGTTACTTTGTAATCTATATAAAATACTTATTAAATATTTAAAAAAAGATATATAAGATAAAAAATGTGAAATCTGCAGGAACAGAATACTTCGGAAATGAATTTATATAGATATATATATGATGCTCAGAATCAATTCGCGTTAAATACGTCGAGATTGTGTATTAATTCATTGAAATGATTATATCAATTTATATTGTAGATTTGAAGAAATATGTGCTGTAGTTGGTTACATACTATTTAAAGTATAAGAATAATATAGATCTATATTAAAGCCACAAAATCGATATAATAGTTTGTTTTCTTTAGCTACTCATATAGATTTTCAATAACATAGTGATTCTTCACACATATACGATTGCCTTACAATGAATAGATGAGCAAAGTTATTTTTAAATTAAATAATAATTTTCAAATAAATTCTTTTTATATGTTTTTGAAAGTTTAACTTTTATGTGGCGTAGTTCTATATCAGTCTGAGCGCTTCATTCCCAATTCGTTATTTCTCTATAACATATTTACATATTAATCCGTGATTATATATAATATACAAGAGATTTATGTTATGCGTTCATAAATATTTTCATTGCTATTTATTATATAAATAGCAGATAAATAAATTTGCCAAGTGTGATTGTTGTTACTAAACTAATAACTCTTTGTGCCATATACCGCGAAATTTTAAAGTTTATATTACTATCATTAACGATGAGGCCGACAGTATTGTCTTGTTAAATACAAATCACGGAACTATTTAGAGAGATAAAATCTTCACAATGAAATCATGGGACAAAATAAATCTTTTGTAATTGTTTAGATACTGTGTAAAAATTGTATAAGATTAATGCTTATATTAGAATTATCTTCGACTAATTATCCGTCTGCGATCTTGTAAAAACATGTAATGATGTAGACTATACATATAGACAAAAGTGTCTGCCGAATATAAATAAAGGAACTATTTTAGTTTCCTAAGAACTTTTATTGATGTTATTGTATGTGTGAATGAAAAATAATGTCAAACATATACAGAAGAAAATCACAAGTACTTATAATGTATCTCTAGTGTACGAATGACCGAGTGATGAAAGGCGAGTATATATGCTTATAATTCTATCATGGTAGGATATAAGTACAGTAAAACCTCCGTGCTCGCAAAAAAAATTGTGACGAAACTATTCTTCATTTTCTGACGAATAAAATTTTTTGAGTTTATTGTGGATTTAATACAATGAAATTTAACTGCAATTATATTGTCATACATTTCTCTCTACTTTTATTTCACCTCGATTTTACGCAACATAAATTTCGCGATCATACTGTTGCATAATATTTATGTGACAATATTCACACTTATATTTACGATTCGTAGCTGAATCAACTCCGACACAGTGTAACCAGATAAATATAGATTTTCAAATACGATAAACACTAGAGCCTGTCTTGTTTTATATTCCAATTAGCGATGAACACATTCAATCAACAACTCTATCAACTGTGCGAGAAAGAATGTACGCTACACGCCTTGTTTTATTCCGTGTATATCTCTGCTACAAGTTAGTAATGATGCTGATTAAATACGGTTTTTTACAACAGCTTTTTTTACAGTGATATGCACCATACAGCGATTGGTTCGCCGTACGGCGAGACCGGAGCTAGAAGGATGCGGATGAATAATCGAATCGCGAAAACTGTTTAGTTGTCTTTGCTCTGCATGAACTTGATCAAGTCAATGACTCGACTGGAATAACCGAACTCATTGTCGTACCACGAGATCAGCTTTACGAAGTTGTCGTTGAGAGGTATGCCAGCCTTGGCGTCGAAGATGCTGGAGTGGTTATCGCCGATGAAATCAGATGAGACAACATCGTCCTCGGTGTAACCCAAAATACCTTTCAGAGAACCCTCGGAAGCCTCCTTTACTTTGGCTTTGATAGCTTCGTATGTGGCGGGCTTGGCAAGTCGAACCGTCAAATCAACCACGGACACGTTATGTACGGGTACACGGAAAGCCATGCCGGTGAGTTTCCCGTTGAGAGCTGGAATAACCTTGCCTACTGCTTTGGCAGCGCCGGTTGCAGCGGGAATAATGTTTTGCGCCGCACCACGACCATCACGCCACAACTGTCATCGGAAAAGAATAGTAAACGTTGTTATATAACAGCATATAATCTTCATCTTAAATGATTTTCTTTTGCTAAATAGCTATGTATCTTATGTACCTTGCCAGAAGGTCCATCGACGGTTTTCTGAGTGGCTGTAATCGCATGTACGGTCGTCATGAGACCCTCGACAATCTCGAAGTTGTCATGGACCACCTTGGCAAGAGGTGCTAAGCAGTTGGTGGTGCAAGAGGCGTTGGAGACTATCTTGTAGCTCGGATTGTAAGCCTCTAAATTTACACCGACCACGAACATTGGTGCATCAGCCGACGGAGCGGAGATGATGACCTTCTTGGCACCGCCTTCCAAATGAGCCTGCAAATATGCCAAAAGACATTGAACTCAAAAATACTGAAGAACCAATGAATTGGATATAAATCTTATTTTGATCTCAGGACATACAGATGCCTTCTCGATGGTCGTGAACACGCCGGTGGATTCGACGACGTACTCGGCACCGGCCTTCGCCCAAGGAATCGCCTTCGGTTCGCGCTCGCTGAAGACGACGATCTTAGTTCCATTGACAACGAGGCAGTTATCCTCGGCCTTGACCTCTCCCTTGAACTTGCCGTGGGTGGAGTCATACTTGAACATGTAGACCATGTAATCGAGACCGATGAAAGGATCATTGATGGCGACGACCTGGTTGATAGAGAGATTACAGATTAGTAAAACGATCGTGATTCGATCCGATTCGCAGGTTGTTAGCTTTTCAACGTACCTGACCACCACGCTCCAAGGAAGCCCTCAGTACGAGACGGCCGATACGGCCAAATCCGTTAATTCCGATTTTGCTCATGTCGTCTTCTTGATTGCAACTGGAAAATCGACGAATGAGAGTATTATAAAGTGCTGCATGACGGCCGTGTATTTTCTGCGCGATTGCGATCAGTGATGCCGGCGCGGTTACGTCAAACAGATGCGAGAAAATAAATCTCATCGTAATGAATCTCGTTATTAGATAGGTTAGACTGGGGAGAGTGAATTATGATGACTGCAGCGCATGGTTTATTTCTTCATTATTCTCGGGATACTAATTGCTCTATATTTCAAGGATATTGATAAATATCGTATAAATTAAAATTGATATTATCGATACTGTTATTTATATCGCACATATATACATAGATGCACTAAATATTACTAATTATGCACGTCACTGTGCTTATAAAGATTATCTTGTTTTATTAAGTAAAAATTACATTGTTTAAAGCGAATTTCTTACGATATCATTGCCAATATATTAAACAGATAAATTTTTTAAAAATCTTAATATTTATTAAGTCTAGAAATACGATTAAAATACAAATAAACTAATTATCGAAGAGATTCGTTTATAACCGTTTATGTAATTTCCAATGTGAAATTATTCAATGTTATTTAATCTTGATTCTATGACTTGACTACGAAAGCAGCTGTGACAGCAACATCTTGGCACATTGCTCGAAAACACCACGTCGGATTGGATGAGCAGATCTTGGAGGTCAAGCAAGGTTAAAGGGGGTGTGGCTAGATTTTTTTAACAACTCGACATTCTTGAGGATGATGATGATCTGACATATATGAAATTATTAGACAGTATTTGATAAAATTAATATAAATCGCACGTAATGCCGGCACCATTCGATGCTTACGATTAGATGCAAAGATGCATTCTTGCAATTACATATGATATAATTTGCATTGAGGAGACGGAGTTCGGATCTTTAGTCAAACATACAGGCGAATAAAAAAATATTACAACAAATACTACTAAATTTTTCTCGTGAGTGCGATAAATTTTTTTGTAATTATTATTATATTTTAACAAATTTATTCGTAATCGAGTATCAAAGTTACGATAATTTTGTGTTTATTTATGAAGCTCATACAATTTTAATCTTTCTATTTTAAATATTAGCTGAAAACTCTTCTTATTTTTACAACAATTCGTTAAATCACAAAACGATGTTTGTAAATGTTTTCTTCAAATATTTGGAATATAAACAGTTACATATATAAATAAAATAATAAAGTGTAAGAAGGAGAGATAAAAATAAGCAGATTATTAAATTTCAAGGAATTATTGTCTCGTACAATATTTAATAAAAATAATATTGTTACTAATATATCTACAATAATTTATATTTTATTGGCATAAAAAATCTTAATAACCAGTATGTGTTTTCTATTACTAACTGATGCAATTATATTGTACCTAACACAATAATAATCTCAATATGCAAATTATATTTTAAACGACTAACAATATCCGATCGATAAGTAATGATTGTGTGGTACGCCAAATATTGGTTCTATTAATAACCAATAATTGTTGAGCAATAATATTGATTGTGCGAGGACCGTTTAACGATCGTCATCTATACATAAGCGAAGGACATTTCTCGAGATTAATTTTCGCGGCCGGCTAAAAGAAGATATCTCATCTCGTCGTTACATCATCGCGACATGTTTCTCGAAAGTTCTCCCATAAGAATGCAGAAAACCGATCGCCTCGCGTGATCTCGATATTCTCGATGAGGATAAAGGATACTCGTCCATTCGACGTCACGAGAATGGCCGATGCGGCATTCGTCGCGAAATGGGAGACGCTGACATTCGACACGTACGCATGTATTATGTTTGACAGGAACGAACTCCATATAACGGGTGAACGAGCGACCGGCGAGGATGATTCATCACACACAATAGTAAAGATAAAACCACGAAATACGTGTCAAATTGAGAGGAGGATACTCACCAGTAAGAAAGAACAGTTCCGTTCGTCGCGGCTACTAACGAAGTAGTGTCATTTGAAGGGCACGGATCGCTAATATAAACCATGCCCGTCCGCGCTGGCGCGTAACCGACGCCGTCTCGTGCATCATCGTCGACGCTCGGCGTCACGTGACTTGTCAACGCCGGCGTCAGACGAGTCACGTGATCCGATTATCGACGTGTGCCGCGCCGCGAAGTTCGACGATAGTAACCGACGCCGGTGTTCGTTCAAAGTTTGAATCTTGTCGTTTCTTTCGGATCCACATTTGTGTGTGAGGAGTCGAATCAGTTAAAGTAAATACTTCTTGAAAGCGATGGAGTGATATATATTCAGTGTTTATCATCGTTGTGTTCATCTCACGGATCGTGCGAATGAAAGAGCAACGAAGTGTGCTTAGCGGAAGGTAAGGACAAAAGCTCTCTTTTTCAAAGATGTTTCATACTTTGAGATAATTGTTCGCAAAATGGCAGTGATATGATATACGTGTATATCAGTAATCTTGCTATACAAGATGTACAATATATAGTTACAATACGAAAAACGTAGTTTTTACAGCTTTCCATAAAAGTATTTTTTAACATCTTGCATACAAAGGCAAAACGCGCTAACCTCACACATAGCTCTAATTTTTCAATTTCTATTCATATCTTGGAGACATCTGTTTCGATAAATATCAGTCAAAATATTTATTCTATTTTAATCATGTAAAGAAAGCACGTGATTGTGTGTCCATAAAGTAAGTTTTTATAAGTATCATTAAATAACCTTTAAGCATCACCATGCTCGATAGCTTGTCCAGTTTCAGGAACATTACCGTAATCGGCGTTATACATGTATTGAACCAGATCGGCTATACGATGTGAGTAACCATATTCATTGTCATACCTGTAAAAACATCGAAACTTTCAATATTAATACATAATTTCTCTGATCAAGGAAAAATTATAAATCTCTGGCATATAAATTCTATATATGAGACATAGATTGTATATTTTGAATAATATAAATTAAATAATTTATATAATTTATGAATCTTGAGAGAAAATTTTATAATGATATTAATAATTTTATTACCAGGCGACGATCTTGATGAAAGAACTGGTCTGTGGAATGCCTGCTTTGGCGTCGAACACACAGGAATAGGTAGTGTGATTAAAATCCGACGACACACAGTCATCTTCCGTGTATCCCAGTACTTCTTTTAGCTGTCCTTCGGATGCTTCTCTCATCGCTTCTTTCACTTCTTCGTATGTTGTCGGTTTATTAACTCTGAGAAGATAGCGGAAAATCAAAAACGGTTTTCAAGCACAAGAATATCGGTTCGTATCTTGCACGTTTAGTATCAAATATGATCATTTAAGTCTTATCAAATGTACGTTAGCATCAAAGAAATCGAACATTGTTGCCTCAAACGGGTCCATTTTTATATTAGTTTAATCGAAAAACATGCGTTAAATACATGCCGTTGTCAGATTTTATGGGTCAGTTGTTCGATAAAGTTGTGGCGAACCTGCATCCGCCAATTACCTGAATGTTATGTCGCATAATGAAACGTTAGGGATCGGTACCCTAAATGCTATGGCTGAAATCTTGCCCTTGAGCTCGGGGATAATTTTGGCTAATGACTTGGCGGCGCCGGTTGCAGTAGGAATGATATTCTGAAGAGCGCCTCTGCCATCTCTCCATAACGTGGTAGGCCGACACTACAGCAAAAATAATCACGCGAAACAATAAAGCTTTGATAATTTTTCTTACTTTTCTTATTTTAAATTAATTAAGCTAAAAATAAATTGTGATATTATCTCCGAAGATAAATACAAATTTATCGAAGATAGAAACTCGGAAATATGATATTATGTGATTAATATATAATTAAATAATTAAAGAAGCATGCATTTAGCCTTTTGTGCTTCTTTTATGGATCCTGTAGTAATTTTTTTTGTACGCAAAAAATATTATTAGCATTAAAGTTTTACATTAGATTGAATAACCTTTTCTATCGGACCATCTACGGTGTTTTGGGATGCTGTCACCGCGTGTATACTAGTTATCATTGCTTCGAGAACCTCAAAGTTATCATGCATGATTTTGACGATTGGAGCTGCACAGTTTGTTGTGCAGGACGTAGCAGAAACGACTCCGTCCTTCTTAGGATTGTAACACATGTGATTGACTCCGAAAACGAGCATCGGTGCATCGATTGATGGTGCAGTGATAATAACTCTTTTCGCGCCACCATCAATGTGTAACTGTAAAAAATACCGCGTAGTGTTAGGGTTACGTATTTTTAAGATATAATTGGACAATTTAAACATATATAAAATAAAATAAAAAATAAAAAAATATAATTAATAAAATGCTATATCTCAAGGATTCCATAGAGTTTGAATAAACCTATTCAAGCCTAAATATAATCGCAAAATTAATGTAAATCTAATAACTTGTTGAAAATAAATTCTTTCTTTTTTTTCAGAATTTTGAGGATGGCCTAGCAGTTTTACCCATCAACACAAATCCTGTTATTTTGAGTGAGTACAAAGAAAAATATCGATTTATAATCTTACGCTTGCTTTCTCTAAAGTTGTAAATGCTCCACTAGCCTCTATGACATATGTCACTCCCATTTCTTTCCACGGTATTTTCCACGGTTGTTTTTCTTGCGATGTGGCAATTCTTAGTTCTCATTGAACGATCCAGCAATAAATACGTTCATAATTTTTTATCACATTAAAATATTATTATATTATATGTCTTATAAATATTAGATAAAACAAGAAGTAACTAGAATGTTTTTGAGAGTTTAGAAAAACTGAAATTTATTATTATGGAAAAATCTTTCCAATAATTACAATTTTGCAATACGTGCGATTCTTTTTTTATTTTAGTTTTATAGATTTTTAACTTTATCAAAATTTACAATATTTTGAAAATATGATTTACACAGAGAATAGAATAAACTTATTTTATTCAATATTTTTTATATTTCACTTTTCAAGCATGAAAAAATTACAATTATATTTACCACCGCTAACTATATATCCCTTGTCACATTCCAACTGTAGACCGTACGGCCCGTGAGTAGAATCATGTTTAAAAAGATATATCATATAGTCGGTGGTAAGGAATGGATCATTGATTAATTTTACCTGTGATATTTATCAATATATTATTTATCTATTAATCAGTGATATATCGTATTTATATTGCGTATAATCGGAGATTTACTTCAATATGCTTTTCGAGGCAAGCGCGAAGACACATCCTTCCTATTCTTCCAAATCCGTTAATTCCTACAAGTGCCATGATTTCTGTGCAAGATTGTTATTTTAACTAATATTTAGCAATTCTTATTCGGAGAGAAAAAGATTTGAAAATCTTATTCTCGGAATGACGTTATCGCAAACGTAAACAGTACGAAACTGATTACAAAACTCTATGAGAGAAGTTGTACACACGCGTCACAGTTTTGTTATTTAACATATTATAAATTTAATTAGAGGGGAGAAAAAAGAGAAAGTTATGATTATAAAACTTATATTACGTTTTATTCTATTTTTATCCACTATCGCACATACGGACTTACTTTACTAGAAATTATACAATAGACGAAGTTAATTAAAGTTCATTATTTAATTAAACGCACATGAATCAAATTGCTATTAAAATTAATTATAGTTGTTTCAAGAAAAACAAATAAACTAAATAAAACAATCTCTCTTTATATAGAATGGCAATTAATTGATACTTCTACATTATTAAATTAACGACAGTCCATTAGTATCTTATGTCATATTATGTGATTATGTCACATTAATTATAATATTTATTAAATAAAATAATCAAAAATTATTATACTTACGAATATGGATAAAATAGTCCTGAGTTAATCGAAAATATTTATTTTCGTGTTCAATAACGCGTTTTAAGATAACAGAATAAGCTATGATATCTAATGAGTAAAATTAATGTACTTTTTTATAAGTTCTACTTTTCATCGTATAAAAAATATAATTTTTATTTATTATTATTACAATCTTCTGGTAATATATACAATTATCGTAACATTAAATTTATTAATAGATGGTAAATGAATTTTCGAATAATTGTGCGAGGTCTTCTTCCGATTGTTCTCGAGGCGCCAATTTCGTAATGCGATGCTGGAAAAAAATTAATTCAATATGCACTCTCGAAATAGAGGCTATACAATATTGATCGATTGTATCGGTTACACTTGTCACATTTTTTGATAAAATATATCAGAAAAATATTCCTCATTAAATACATTATTCACCTGAGGCAATGTTCCCTGTACTAGAGTAGGAATGTCTTCTTTGTTGAAACCGAGCTCTGTCAAGCCGTTTTCGATTTTCATAACGCGCATATATTCTTTCATCGTGTCGGCCAGAATCTTTCCGGCGTCGGCTCGTTTGGCATTTTTGACATCTGCGCCGAGTAATTCCGCAGCTTCCAAATGCCTTTCTGGACACGCGTTTCCGGTAAAGGAAAAGACAGCCGGCGCGGAAATCACCACGGATAGACCGTGAGGAACTATGGGATGATCGTTGCTGTATCCCTTAAATAAGATAGCAGTGAATATATTCAAGTCGGAAAAATATTATAAAGTTTTACAAACGTTTAATATAATATAAAATACAGAAATAATTGTATAAGTATATAAATTTAAGTTTTCATTACCTTTGGCTGGAAATTTCGAACGTTTCCGCTGATGGGATACGAAAGTCCATGACAAAGATGAACACCCGCGTTTCCGAAACCAACGCCTGCCATTGTACTCGCTAAATGCATACAACTCCTCGCTTCCAAATCGTCTGGATTGTAAACCGCTCGCTCAAAGTATCTGTGCAAGAAATTAATAAATATTGATATATGCCTTTTATTAATTTATTTTTGAAAAGCATGTGTTTAAAAAAATGCGTATTTTCTTCGGCGAATTTAAAGTCAACCATTTTTTGCATGGAAACTCGCAATTTAAAAAATTTTTTAATTTCTATAAATTTGATTTATGGCGAACTAAAATTGATTGAAAATTAAAAGAGATGAAGTTTTGTTATTTATCAAAACAAGATATTTTTATTTTTAATATTATATAATTTTTAAATATTATTTTTAAATATTATATATTTTTAGCTTGATAAGGATTTATCCAATATTTAATTTTAAATATTTCAATTTTGTATTTTAATTTGATTTCAAATCTCTGTAATTTCAAATAAGTACGCATATCTTAGGACATTTTACATAAGCAATTGATTGATTTATTACTTGCGTATAATTTGTAGAGCATATCGCGCCCAGACATCGCTGATAGGATTGCTACCTTGATAGGCTGGTCTCAGAATCGGATTTGGTGGGCACGGCGTCCTCTCTGTATAAGGTATCGCCGTGAAGGATTCTAAGGCGTGACAAAGCACATCGAAACCGGAATAAACACACACTTTCTCTGGTAGAGTCAGGGTATGTTGAGGATCGATGATTCCCAATGTTGGACGTAGAGCTCTGCGATAAAAGCGTTAACGAATTAATTTTTCTGTATATCTTTTTAAATGATATACGATAATTATTACCTGTTCGCAATTCCCGTTTTGGCCTTTAGCGGCCGATAATCGAAAATAGATACTCCAGTTGTTTCAGAACCGGTACCAGAGGTTGTCGGAACGGCGATAAGCGGTTTCAGAGGAACCTGAATAGGTTTCCCTTTCCCGATCGGCGCGTTCACGTAATCTAAAAATTCGGCGTCTCGATCGCAACTGTATAGATTAGCCGCTTTGCAGGTATCCATCACGGAGCCACCGCCAACCTGCGGCACTTAAATTAATAATTTACGAACTTATCTCACGTACAGGCCATTCTTATTTTATTTGTTTATCTATCGTGAACTTTAAATAAGATTTTTTTTACTGTATTATTGTGTGCTTAATTATAAAAAAAATTATATAGTTTCATAAAAAAACTTTTGCATTTTTTATAGAGAGATCCAATATAAAATATAAGAAAATACAAGATCTAATATAAAATTATTTAAAACATTTAGCTTGATCATTTTTGATAATAATCCAACTTTATTATTCTGACGATATCATATCAGCAATATGAAAAGAGATAGAGAACTATTGACAAAATTTAGTCAATTAAAATTATCGATGAAACCGTATCTTATGTTAATGTAATTATGTTTTTGTATATGTACCGCTATAAACGCGTCGAAATTTCCACGCTTGGCGAACTCGATCGATTCCTGCAAACTTTGTTCTGTTGGTTCGACGCGTACTTCATCATAAATCTCGAATTGAATCCCGTACTTAGCGAGACTATCAATAGCAGTTTTTACAGGCGCTAAAGTCACCAAATTAAGATCAGTCATCAGGCATGTTCTTTTCGCTCCTAAATTTTGCATGTCCATTCCCAATTCTCTTGTTACTCCTACTCCATATCTTACAGTAGAAGAAGCCATCTAAAATTTTATGTTATTTTTAAATTGTGTAAATAACTAACATATATATTATCTAAAATTATTATTATATTACAAACGCGAACCGTTTCGAACTTTTTATAAGAAAAATAAGCCATTGAAGAAAATCTAGTATTTTTCAAATATTTTTTAAATATTTTTTTGCATTATTTAAATTTACTACTTACTCGTTCCTGCCGTACGTATTATTTTGTATAATAAACGAATTTTTGAAATAGTTTTATTAGGGCAATCGCGCGAATTGCATCTGATATAGTTTGATATGATATTCAGATTATTGTCAGAAGTTTAAAAACATGCGGCAGCAAATACAAATATGGTTTTAAAAATAATTCTTATCTGAATACAACACACTTCTTAGATTTAACGGTCTGCGTAATATTTAATGATTAATGACTTCGTTTTTACTGTATACAAAATTTTGTGACTTACCTCGAATGCATACTCCTTGTTAGGCGTGATGTTTGTCGCGGTGCTCCATGTTTTCCCATGTTCCCATACGCTGGTAACTCCTGGATTTCCATGTGCTGGACATCTGCATCTAAAAAAATGTTAGCCAAAATAATAGCATCTAAAATTTTTGTTTCACGTTTACCGACAAATACATTTCCATTCTTTGTCACTAACAATAAGCATTGCTATCGAGCTAATATATGATGTTTTAATGAATATTGCATAATGAATTTGTGTAGATTTCTTTAACAGATAGCCACTTGATATTTACATCCCACTTTTTTTGACAATTATTTATGCAATACTTCGAAAAATTGACGCAAATTGTTTTTATGATTTTGACGAAATAAAGTGCGATGTTATCTCAATTATCGTACTTATCATTGTCCATATTGACGCCATTAGATAAGATGTATAGTGTATCTTTCGATTAAATTTATCATTATTATATTGGCCTATATTATTGCGTACAATGAAAATACTCTGCGTGATACCATTTGACACACAATATCGCTACTCTTATTTTTTTCCATATGAAATTTTCGATAAACATTTGGTTTACTTACGATTGAGTTGAGATAACTTGCAAAAGATCAATGACGCGTCGTCTCGGTAGCATTTTATACACAATATTTTACAAATAAGATTGTACAAATGCCGATTGGAGAAAATTAAAACAAGTTTTCCGATCGGAAATATTACGAAGCAATGCTCTCTACGAACTCTCGTGCTTCACTCTATCTCATAGTCGTCTTGATACCACGACCAGTTCATATTCCCCCTCTTTTTACTATAGCATATTTACCACTCAAGTTTCTGATGAGGTCATTTCGTTACATGTGTTCGTATTCATGTGTAGACAGGGCTGTACCGATAGAATTTTATCATGCGTTTTACGATGCTCCTTGCGTTCGAATAATAAAAGAAAAATTTCTGAAATCTTGCTTTTGGAAATTGGAATTTCAAACTTTTAATGCAGTACTCGGCGCACAATTTGAAGGTTTTGCATTTAATGTTCTTAAATTTCTGCAGGTTTAAATTTATTTGCTCTTTGAATAACACTCTTTTACCGCACATCATCATTAAATCCTACATTCATATAATTATTTATTTTAAAGCTGATACATAATTGAAGAGTTTTAATTGATTACATAGATGTTTAATCTAATTTTTCACGTTATAAGCAAAATATATGTATTGCAAATTTAAAGCACATTTTATTTACTAGACATAATATGTATATATGTATATGTATATGATATGTATATATATATTGCGAAGAAATTTTTACTTGTATAATTTGTCAATAACGAGTTTTAATGTATCTTGCTGTTGTATAAAGCTACTGTTCGATATGCGTCAATGATTCTAATCTGATTTTGATCAGCTAGTCTTGTTTTGCATAATTTTATTGCGTTGGTTCTTGTTATGATAGAAGTTCAATCAAGCACGTTTAGTTCACGTCATTTATCTCTATAGATATATTAGCTTTTGTGCAAGTTTTGTTTTCGTATTGAACCTTGGATGAATGTCGGTCATGTGTAAAAACAAGTTAACGAAGTATTTTTCGTTTCTAATTGCACCTTCTTGATTTCTAATATCTCTATAAGTATCTCTTTTTTTAAATGCTCGCTTTTTTTGCAACATCGATTAAGACGGAAAATAAACTTTAATTTTACTTAATATTTTATTAAAACGATATTTTTTTATTATTACAAATGTTATTTACAACATATATATAATAGTGTATAATAATATTTGCGCAGCGACACAACATTTTGCAAAATGTTAATGTCGTATGTAAGTTTACGGACCTCCGCCGGATAAAAATATTGTCACCATAAGTAATTGAAAACTATAATTATTTATGGTAGTGTTACGTGGTACTGTATTGGCATATATCACTTTGATTGGATATCTTAAAAAAAGCTCTGTTTTATCTTGTTTTGTATAAAATTTTGCATTTATCATACGCATAGTTCCCTCATTCATCCATCATCGATCACCAATTGACACATTTTTGCTCAAATTTTCTACATTAATTTTCAATATCAATATTATTAAGTTATACCTTTATAATTTCTGTATTGGCTTATATCTTTCTATAAACAAGCAGTACCGTTTAAAAAAATTTAAATTAAACCTTGAAATTCGCCTGATCGCTGCTTAAGCGACGAGTAAAGTTATAAGCTTTAAATAAAATCTATAAATAATAAGTACTTTGCTATCATTTCCATATACATATAAAGGGATTCATGTTCTGAACTGATTGTAAGATATAGCATTGCAGCTTATATCTAAATTATTACTTCTATCAGGCATCGTCTTTGCGTTAATAACGATAATAAACGTACTTATATATTAATCGCTATTTTTGTAAACTTTGAAAACGTGATAAAGCTCAAAAACAAGATGCATTTCGATAAATCGTATACATTTTTACAAGGTCTAATTAAATGCTGACAGTTATATTTGTTTTGATTTTGATATCTTTTCAATAGAAATGAAAACTTACTGATAAGATCATATGTATGTATATTGTTACCTATGATCAAACAGAGAAGAGTCTGCCTAATTTTGTTCTAATTGGAAACCGTAATTAATACATATTTTTGCGAGAAAAAAATCGCTTTTTCCTCTTCTCGTATCGACTTCGTCGTTCAACCAATAACAGTCTGTAAAGAATATCTCTTGATTTGCGAAAGCGACGCAAAGTAGTTTTCGGCGGTTAAGATGAATCACATCGGTCGGTCGCTTCGTAATTGATCACTTAATTAATCAGGAAACACTTTTTCTTTATACACTCTCTGGCACGATTTTATCGTAATGGAAGGTGCTGCTGGAGTAGAAGCTACCTCGTTTCGGCATGTGAGGTGTGGCTATTTCTTCCTGCAGGGGTTTGTAGACCAAACCGCAATTCTTATTGTCGACCAGACCTTGACGAAGGATCATAGGCGGCCTGAGAACGGGGCCACGTCCTCGTTTGTTCGCCAAACAGCAAGCGATGCGCGCTACCAACAGGAACACGACCAAAACGAACAAGACAGTACCGGAAACTAGCCAGATTTTGAAGCCAGGTCTCAAGTTGTACCAAGAGTGATATTCCGTGGTGATCCTGAAGTCCTCGTCGTACTCCTGATCTTCCAAGAATCGCGGGTCATCGGCATGTATACCATGATCAATGTTCAGCTTGAGAAGCTCCTGTAACAAATGCATTTGACATTATTGCGTCATTGTTTCGCGATGATATTATCGAGATTGAAACATTATAATATCTCGAAGAAATTGAGGATAATTAAAGTACATAAAGGATATTTTCAACGGGCATGTTGCTGAGAAATGTTACTCGCTATCGTCTTACCTCGTCCTTATCGAGCTCGTTTGTGAGTGTGAGTAGAGAATCGGAGTCATCTGGGATGTCGAGAAAAACGTCCTTTGGTTGTATGTTTTTGCCAGGAGCCTGTCTAGGTGGTGGACCATCCTCGATTCCCTCACAAGCTATCTTTGCCAAATCTGTCCATTGACTGATGCCCTTCGAATCGGCGTCGTCGTCAACATCAGCAAAATCATTGACATATCTATAAAAAGCATCATGAGATATTGAGATAATTCTTGTGTAATATACAAGCTGGGGACAATGAATATGAATATTTACTAACCCAAGTGTCTCCGTCGGTGTAACACCGCGATCGGTGAGCCATTGCAGAGCTTGATTAAATTCCTCGTCACAATTTAGAGGATTGTGCGATAAATCTAGACCCGACAGTTTTGGCGTAGCTCTAAGTTCTTCGACAGTGATTCGTTGTAAAAGATTACCGCGAACCGACAGGAATCTGAAAAGGAACGAAAGCATGAAATACACTGATTAATAAATATCTTAATATCTTATTTGTAAATACAAAAAATTTTATTATGGCGAAATTTCTGTTTTTATTAAGAGGAAACTTTAAATAATCCTCAAATTAAAAAATTGATAAAAGATTATATGTATATATATAGAAGAGGAAAGTTATGTAAGAAGAGTTATGAGGATTATACGGAAGAAATTTTATTTCTTTAAATCTTACCGAAGACTTTTCAACGGTACTCTAGCTTCGCTCCAAACACGTTCGAGGTTGCAACGACTCACGTCCAGTTTCACAAGTCCTGGTGTATTCAAGAACGGCGTCACTTGCAGTGTAGTCAATGGATTATGCGCGAGACTCAGCTTGTTCAAACTCTCGGCACCGTGGAACATTCCCGGTTGCAGAGTAGAGATGATATTATCGGAGAGATCCAATTCTCGTAGGGACGAGAGGCGTTCCAGGAGTCCTATAGGCAAACTGCTTAGACGATTCTTCGCGAGATTCAATCGAGTTATCGCCGGCATTTCGTCAAATGTGCCCGGTTTGAGATTATCCAGGCCACAATTCGCGCATTCAAAACGGAAGACGCTGTTAAATAACGATAATTATTGATATATAAGATTTGCTCACTTCTTATATTTTTTAAATATAATAATAGGCTGAGATATTTTACCTAAATGTATCGTATACCAAGCCGTAAGTTTTGAAAACTGGTAAAGTTTGTAAAGTGGGATTATCATTCATCAGCAGAACCTGTAATCTCGGATTATCTTTGAAATGATGCTCCGTTAACGAGGAGAGCTTGTTGTCACTGATATCAAGATGTCGCAATTGATCGAGATCGCTGAAAGCGTGTTGGTGAATCCTTTTCAGATTGTTCGATTTGATATATAGTGTGTCCAATAATGGTACGCCATTCAAATCCTCTTTGGCGATTACTCTGATCTTGTTCCTCGAAGCGTCAAGCGTCGTCAGTTTTGAAGCACTTATGGTGGCCAACGTCGATAGATTATTTCCTGAAAGTAATTTCTTCTATATTAATCAGTGTTTCTCAACAATGAAGTATCCGATCTTAGTTTATTCATCGGCATCAGCAATAAACCGATAAAATAAAAATCTACTTAATTATTTCTCTGTTAAATTCAATAATTAGTTGCACACTTTGTCTTGCACACTTGCGCTTATTTTCTAATTTAAATTATATTGCAAAAATATGGTCATCTTTTTACCAGCGACACGAAGAGTTTGTATTTCTTTGCCAATGAACAGATCGAGCGGAAGCTCATTCAGAGTATTATCCGAGAGGTCTACTTCCATGAGCGAGTCCAGCGAGTCAAAGATCGCGCTATCGATTTCTCTCAATCTATTGCCGCGCAGATTGATGTAACTGAGGCTTTGCATCTTGGAAAAGGCGGTGCGTTTCAGTCGTATTATACCGTTGTTCGAGAAATCGAAATCATTGATTGATGATGCATGCAACAGGTAGTGCTTTGTCGGCTTCGTATGTACGTCGTGCATGTGTTTCAACATGTTACCGGAGATTGTGAGTAAACTGAGCTGCGTGTTGTTCTGGAAGGTATTCGGATGGATATCGTGAAGGCCATTGCGCGTCAAGTTCACCGCAAACAGATATGTGATGCCGTTAAATGCAGTACGATCTAGCTCGTCTATCTGCGTGTCGACGATGGCAATGGACTCCAATTGCTGGAGACCGCGAGCTCGCAGGGCATTCGGTCCTAATTGAATCGGGGGGGCGTTTTCGATTCGCAGATGCGCAATGCCTGGTCCGAAGGCTTGTTCATCCACTAATTTGGTGCATCTACGGATAAAGGGGAAAGGGAAAATAAAGATAATTATTGGAAAAAATTTGCATATCAATACTATTTGGTTACGTATAATTGCTATAAATGTAATTGCTATAAATGCAAATTAGTAATCATATGTTTGGCATTAATGAACGGGATTTAATCATTCTAGGAAATATTTTGTGAGAATTTGGCAAAAGACTATCATGCGGTTCTATTATATAGCTAAAACTAAATGCGAATATTTTAATTTTGGAAAAATTTAGAAAAAATCTAAAGGAAACCGTTATAATGTGATGAAATAATTATAATTACTGTTACATTCGTCGTAATTTTTTAAGTATCTCATATATTATGTATTCATGCTTATATCTTCAGGTAAATTGCATAAACAATGACATTCAAAGGATCAAGATCGCGAGATGCATAAAGCAAAAATGGAATATTTATTCGATTACGCGAGCAATTTTTAAACGTCGCGCTCCTTAGTTACGCGTATCTGGCGACTCGTCGCTAACGCACGAGCGGTGAGTGGGGGGCAATAGGCGTGAGCCACGGAATCGGGCCGAAATGTGCAACTAAATCCGAGCACTGTTTTAATGTGAAGAAATATGTTATAATAATTGCTCTCTCTTTCTGAGCAGGAAATGGTCTATCAGTGAGCTCTTTATCTACCGTCACACCAAGGGATGTTGTTATTCCGTTATATAATAATACGATTATAGAAGCTATGAAACATACGTGGCAGTCATTGCGGCGGCGTATTGCCCTGCGCATTTGCAATAATCAGGACACTGCGTCATGACTTCTTCGTCATCGTCGTCGAGCTCCGTATCCCCGTCTTCATCGTAGTAGTCCTCCTCGTCGTTTTCATTTAATTCCTCGTCATAGATTGCATTGTCGAATTTCTTGAATTCTTTATTCTCCGTCGCAAGTTTCACTTTCTTTGTCGTTAAGTTGCTCGGTTTAGCAGTCGTTTTGATTCGCAAATCTGTATGGTCTCTTTGCGCTTCAGCCTTCAAGGTCTCTGCTACCTCTTCCTGAATCTGCGTAATCGTTTTTAGTTGTGATTAAAAGCACAATAAAGATCAGATTGAGACTAACTGTATTCCAGGATATGACATATATATATATATATATTTGATTTTTGAAATTATATTTGATAGAATAATTTTAATTCTTTAACGTAAATATATTATAATTTATGATCTCTTAATAATTCATGTAATAAAAAAGTATTCGGCGAAATTGAATTTTTCTTTTAATACGGGAAGATACGAGAGACTGACCATTATAATTTGTTAAATGATTAAAAATATTATGCAACGTTTTTCATATAATTAAATACTGACCTTGACATCGGAAACATCTTTGTCTAAAGTGCGAATCTCCTGCATCAATATATTCTTTATATTCGAGAAAGGTCTGGCATAATCTATAAATTTGCTCTGCGTCGTCGACTTCACAGATTCGGTAGTTATCGCATTCGCTTCATTGCGAACAAACTCCGTAATAGTAGGTGAAATCGAAACAGTACTTGTGGGCACGCCATCCGTGACAGTAGTAGCCGCCAAGAAGATGGTCAGCAGCGAAGCTGCCGAGATTTCCATGTTATGGCGTATTCTGAAAATGATCCAATTTTATTACTGGACGATAAAGATATTTTACGAGATCTTTTAGGATATTTTAGGAATTTTTTTTACATGTCTATTAATGTATCTGTGCTTGTCAATAATTCCGACGCATGCTATGATCGAAAATATTGACATAATGAACTTTTGTTATATTAGAATAGTCCACCATAATTGAATAACTTTAATTACATATTGGGTGAGGGGCCATATAGTAAATGTTTTAATTATTTTGCAGTGAAGGTTATTAGTGAACAATATACAGAATGGGGGAATAGATTTAATATTTTTTACATAATACATAATACATATAATTATACAATACAATTATAATAATTCTAAATAAATATGTATAAATAATTTTATAAATTTCTAATAAATAATTATAATAATTCTTACACAGGGCGAATTTAATATTTATTCAGAATTTTTGTAAATTTGAAAATGTTTGATTTTACAAGAATTACTAACTTATTCTTTATATTTTCTATAAATAATTAAATACTTTTTCTTAGTATATAATTTCTAAAATCTATGGTTCCCATAAGAAATGCACCATTTTTTAGCCATTTCGTGTAACATGAAACTTTCTCTCATTCTTTCTCAAGTAACATCTGGTGGCCAGTTTGTGAAGGCAAATGGTGCTTTGTTAGACTTCTCGAAACGTTACTGAATGATAGACCGAAAAATGGACAATGTACAAAAATTTAAAAGATATATAAAAAAAATTAATATTACTAATTTTTATAACTGTTTGTACGCCCACAATTTAGAATACTACAAATATACTTTTATATTGTCATGTTGCATGACAAATCTATATTAAAGTTCCAAGAAATCGATTGCTACGTCGGAGTATCATGTTCATACTGCAATCAAATACAAGAGAGCGGAAACTCTTACGATTCCAAATAAACAAAATGATTTTTTCTCAGAATAAAACTTCCATTCGCTATTACAATTTCTTATATTAAATTACGTACGCTTCTCTTGACACTCTTCCAAAAAAAAATAATAAAAAATCAAAATAAATAAAATAATTTAATCAATTTCTATATTACTTATCGCGAAATGTTAATTCTTTTTGTACACAACGCAGTCCATAAACTCTGAGATTCCGCGGAATTATCAAACTGTCAAACATTTGATTAAACAATGATAATTAAAAGTTCTATCATATTCGCGAAAATATACCTTTATTCCGATTCAAGGGAGGCTGTATTACACGAGCTCGAGGAACAATACAAACTGCGCTCTGTTCGTGATATCAGAGATTTTAGCGGACGCAGTTGCACCCGATGTAGCACTGTTACTGCACAACGTTCATGCCCCACCTACGAACGCTGACGTTAGATAACCGTGACGGTTTGCAGACCGGAGCGACTTCTGGCACGTACGTGAATAGATCGGATTCGGTGCGAACTTTTCGACAGAAATGAAAACGCGTGACGAATTCTAGTTTGACGACTGCAAAATCAGAAAGTATTCGAAGAATGGAAAATCAGAAATATTGCGCACCAGTGATTATTGAACAACCCGCAATTATTATTGAACACATTAACGATACATTGGGCAATTATTGTTATTGCGCAACATTATCTTAATATGTCTATATATGATGAGATGAGGAAGTATTTTACTTGGAAAATAGATATCTAATACGTGATTGAATAATGTTTAAAATCACGTTGATAATGTTATAAAATCCCGATGCTATATGTCTCATTATCTTATATTTTTATACAATTTTAACGTTGAGACCAATCATTAAATTACTCCATTTACAGTTACATTTATGTCAAGGGCGCTATCTTTTTTGCAGTAGAAAAAGAACATAATTATCATTATAATTATTATTACAATAAGAATTATTCTAATTACGATAATGTCATTATAAATCGAATATTATATCATTTTCATGTAACTCTTGATTATTAAACACAAGAGGAGATCTTTGTTCCTTTTACAGGTATATTTAGTTGTAAATTTGGTGAGAAGGACAATATCCTAACCGACGTGAAGGAATATTATTGTCTTCAAAATTTATTCAACTGTTGCAAAATATTATAACATATGCAATCTTAATAAAGAGCTACAATTTTATAAATAATGAACGATAGAAGAAAAAAGAAGAGATTTGCGAACATTTAACATTTTTAGAGTCTATATTTCACTTATTTTGGAATTATTATATAGCGAGCAATTCGTACAAATATTACACAAGTATATTCAATCGATGTATGTTTTTACATCACGTACTTTTTTATCAAGAGTTGAGTCCGCTTAGATACGAAGATCGATTTTCTGATTGATAGCTTTTATCAGTCACGATTTTCAATGTTTTTCGCTCCTGAGGTGTGTTACATTATGTTAACCGAAAGATCTGTTCGAAATGTCGTAAGTACGCACAAGTACACAAACGAAAGTTCTTAAAATGGCAAAAAATTTTCAGATAAACACAGATTAGAATTGCGTAGGATGAGTAAGCAGGATGAGATCTTTGAACTTTATAACTTGCAAAGTCTCGCCTTTATGTCGCCAAACAATTGATTTAAAAAAAAAAAAAAAAAACGATTTATGCTACATCCCTTTCATTTAACACACGATTTTTACATCGCGTTGTTAAAATTAATTATCATAAACATGAAATTTGACAACTTTCATTTATAGAGGTGCATCCCCTATATTTAATAATGTATACAATATATATATTATTTTATTATGAAACATTGGTAAAATTCTAAAATGCGCATCTATTTTAAAATTCACATTGTTATCGCTCGCTTAGATGTCGAACAGGCTTATTTATATTGTATCTTAATTTTCATGTTCCTCCAGCTGATCTGACTGAGCGCAGATTAAATGTGCATTAATTCCTGAAGCGGAATTTATACGAGTTGCTGCGTCGTTCTTACGCTCTCTTCTGCGTAAACAATTTCTTGGCGCGGCGAACTATTCAAATGGAAGTGTGCAAAGAATAGTTATCACCGATACGTATATCCTACATAAGAAGTACATTAGTATGCGGTAGAGAAACGTCACAGAGTGACATGCAAATGCTAAAATCACGGAGTTATTTTTGCGTATCAGAAATACGGGAAACAATTCTGAATAGTCTTGAATTAGAATTGCAATTAAAATTGAAAAAGCAGCGCGATAAGACAGACAATATTTATTTAACGATATTATTTCGGTAGGCGTATTTGAGTGAAAATCGCGCGACTAGTTATTTTATTTCTCGGGAAATTTACAATACGTGTTTTAATCAACCCGCTGCGCAATAATCACTCGAGATGCTTCTCGTCTCTTGAGGACAATGGAGTTATCTTACACTGATGCCTCTCGTGTTTATCTCACTCGGTAACATGAGTAATCACTGAGGTGCGATTTCACGAGAGTTCGTTGATATTTATTCACGTTACTCGGTGATTTCTTTAAATTGTATTGTAATCGAACAAAGAGTAGGATTTAAGATTCCCTTCGATCCCTGGAATGCCATTTTAAATCTCGGTTACTCGATCGAATAATCTTCACGAATTAAGAGATTCATCTTCGTGTTTGACATCTGCGCCAACATCAGTATTTCTTGTCGTCTCGGCTACTTCGTAACACGTTCCTTTGAGATCAACCGAAAGAAAATATTTAGGAAACGTTTTTTTCCACAAAAATTCAGCTTTCTTCCTTTTAGCGTCATATGGAGCCTTTCTTTGTTGAAAGATTCAGTGAAGAAATTGTTCGAGAAAAAAATGGTCCGCCGTTGTTAAATGGAATACAAAACTCCAGAAGATCGAATGCGTAAAGTGAACAAACATACGTGTGAATGTGAGTTTAAGAGACGGAAGCTAAGTATAGGGCCCGCGAGTTCCATCTGGAGTCTTTGTTCGATCTCTGAAAGATAACTCGGCGGAGTTTGGACCAGGTAGTGTTACTTGCTCCGAGGCAAGGCAAGCGCAGGTGGTCGGGTCCCTTCCTTTAAGCCCTAAATTGCCGGTGGGTCCAGAAGCGCGGAGCGGAAGATCAACCTGATTCGAAAGAGGCCTCTCAATAAATCTCTACATAAGCTGGCATTTTTTCGAGTAAGACAGCAGATTATGTAGATAACAAGAATGCATTGCGTGGAAATAACGCGCCAATAGAGAGTTAAAACAGAAAATTATGAGAAAATATTCTTGGAAGAATTTTAAGACGGAAGTTAAAAATGAACTTGGACGTTTAAAAGGATTTCGATTTAGTTAAGCAAGCAAAATACTGATTATTTTTATTAAGCTTAAAAATACTTGTACAGATAAACTCCTGTTGACAAATATAATTTTTTAAAGAATTCTTATTTTTGTTCACGAAATTCTAAGATATTTTCGATATATGTTTTGTCACATTACTGGTTTGACATATAACTACATCAGAAAATTTTATATATAATTTTTTTATTGAAGAGGAAAATGCCGAGAAAAAAGCCAAGAATAATATGTTATGTAAAGCTTTATGTTGTAGTTATGTCAAACTAGTAATGAGAAAACATATATATATAAATCTTTTGATGCTTTATTTAAATATATTAAACATTAATTAAATAAATAGCTTTTTAAAAATCCTTTTTTTTTTATTTACAATTTTATTTCTATAAAATATTCAAATCAATTATCAAATCAGTTTACCGTGTTCTCTCGACCAAGTTGTTAATGCCTTACTCAAGTATGTAGCGCGATTGGCCGATGGCAACTATGCTGTATTGATCAATCTTTTCTTTTTTATAATAATAATTTATAATTATGCAGCGCGGATAATTTTAAGATTGCAACGTGATTGTCACAAATTGCGCGTTTAAATCCTACACGGAAATCTTACACGGAAAAATATCGATGTTAAAACATGATTGCTTTTGCAGTCTGATATTTTTTGCGATTACCCATACCACTTAATCACATTCCATCGAACGTACGCAAACGTGTATTGCACATTCTTTATGTTTATGTACGACGTGAATGCGCTTCGAGGAGGCGTATTTTGCTTTCCAAATAGAAATTGCACATACAGTCTATCATTTGACGCTTCATCGTGAACGATTGTCATTCACTCAGGGGCTAGCAAACACTTTAGTACTTTTGTATACTATTCGTGTTTTCTATGTTTATTTAATAACAAATAGTGTCTTGTGCTATTAGTCATTTGCGAATTAATAAAAGAATATACAAGTTTAAAAGAATATTATCATCAATTATCAATGATGTAATAATAATAAATTATTTTGCTATTCATTGTATGTAGATGCATATATACATAGTAGTATACATATTTATTATTAGTTCATATAGAAATCTTTTTTATTAGTAGCATTGTACACAAAGAATCTATTCCCAGATTGATGTGTAAAATGTCAGCATCTCTATGTAGCACAAATATGTATAGTCCGAACGGTTTGCGGAATGCTAATGAATATATAATATATGTGCTATTGATTATTATTCACATATGTATACATACACATACATACAACTTTAATCGGCGAATATGTATAAATCGTAACATATATCGTTTTACTCATTAAACGCAGATGTTAAGTGTAAGAGTACATTCTCGTTTTTCTTTTTGTTTTTTTTTGCGAAAACCGGATTCTATTACTCTAATTGTAATGCTCTTGTTTCGTCGCGTCGTAATTGGGACTTATGCAATTACGCGACCGTTGCAATTATATTAATAACGCGAATGCTACAATGATGGATCGCGCGTCTGGTCTCTTCAGTTCAATGGTTGTATGCAAAGCAGATATTAGGTACAATATATTTATATTTAACTTCTTTTAAAACCGTCGTATTGTGATGAATATATTATTGCGCAATTATCCGGTACTAGTGCTGCAAATTAGTTGGTACCGTCAATGTTTCTTATATATTATTCAAAATATTTCTTATTTTAATGATGTAATTTAGATTTCAATTATTACATAGCAAATCTCATTGTAATGCAATTGATATATTATTATTAAGTAATTAACGGTAAAATATTTACGACTCATTTACGTTTTTATAAAAGTAAAGGTAAAATACAAAAATAATATTTCTTTTTAGAAATTATGGAATTATGAAATAAATATATAACTTTGGACTTGGACTTGGATCTGAACTCTTAGACAGTATATCTTTAATTTAATTGTTATTATCAATTTATTTTAAAAATCCAGAGAAAGTTCCACGTGTAAATTAACTTTTTAATTAAATAACTCTTATCCTCTCATATATATAGCTACGATTTAACTCTTAAGAACAGCTCCGCAATTTTCTTTTTGTCGCGAAAGATATCATAGAGTTTTATCTCTTCGTGATATCGGTATATTTATCTCTTGTACTCTGTACTCGAAGAACATATTT